AGAGAGAGAGAGAGAGAGAGAGAGAGATCATGAAAGTTTTGTTTTATACAAGCTTGTAGCTCCTGGTGAAAAATATTTTTAGCACAGTTCAGTGACAGTAATTTTTTTAAACAACAAAAATAATTTGTAACCATAATTAATATCATAAAATGTTGAAATTTTAACACACATGTCGTCATCGGATCAATAAATAACTATACATAAAATCTAATACACTATGTAAAATTACAAATAAATAATGTACAGTCTATACCAAACCAAAAATTATCAAAACTTTTTTTAAAATACCATGTTTTGATTACTAGTTTTGTTAAAATTAGTTTTATGTTTTATAACTACAAAGCCCAGCTACACTTTAACCCTGGTGTTTGTCTGTATATTTGTAATTGTAAAGGGGGTGAGTCAGTCATTGTATCAATACCTGTATGGATAGGACCAGTGCCAGCCCTGCGAAGGGGGCGCCCACCGAATGGCGACCAAACACGGCAAACAAAGCGGCGAATAGGGTGACCAACGCGCACAAAATATCCACCCGAGTGGACAGCCATCTCACTGAGCAGTGATACAAAAAATTTGCCGCCGATTGCCTGTCAACCAGCGCCTGTAGTCTAACCGCAAACTCGCGTTCCCTGCCGTAGGCTGTGATTGTCGACCGGCCGTCTATAGTGGCCGTCACGTGACTATAGACCGGCGATCGGGCGGCACTTTCCAGCCGTTTCAGGTCACGGGTGGCCCCTCTGAACAGCCGGTGTATTAGCCCGTAGGCTAGGGTTAGCGCAGCGAATGGGGCGATAAACCACGGGTAGACAAACACGATTACGCCGACGTTGCACAGGACAACCATCAGGCGCTGACAAAAGCCGTCCAAAGCCTGCGGCACCTGAGTGTCCATTTCGTCCATATCGCGCACAAATACGTTGAGCACCCGACCCGCCGGTACGGTGTGGTAAAAGGCTAGAGAGCTGTCCAAAACTCGCCGAAATACCCGGTCGTGTAGCCGTTTAGAGGCACCCAAAGTGACCTTGGTGAATCCGTAACCCAAGGCTAGGGTTGTCATAACTACCACTATTACTGATAATCCGTATACCGTCTGATAGATGCTAAGGTCCGGGTTGTTAAGTATACTGTTGGCAACACTAGACTGGTTGGGATGTGCGGCACCGGTTTGTGTGGTCTGTAATAGGAATTAGTGTTTGAAAAACTAAAGTTTTTTTCCAGTGGACATGACATACATTTCCCGATCCCTGCGCTAACCAATAGCCTAACCACCAGTTGGCAAACGAGTTGCACCCGGCCTGCAGTGCCAGCCACGCAATCAGCAATAGAGTGACCAGCGGTCCTCCGCCGGCTTTAACGTACGCCAAATACGTGTCCCACGATATGTCACCGCCTGTGGCGACCCTTTCGTCGGACATTAAACGGCCGGACATTAGCTTAGAGTACGAATCGCAGGCCTCGTCGCCGGAGTCCGGATCCGTTACCACACCGGAGTCCGACCGCCTGTGCCGTACAGACTGTGTTATCGTCCCATTCGTGGTGTCTTTGAGCTGATCCTTAGTCACGTCTTCTTCAGCATTAGCTGTCATTATATCGTCGGAAGAGTCGATGAGTTGCCTATAATCTGAATCCGTGTCGTACAGCTCCCGATGCGGACCCATACGGACCACTCGACCCTCGCGTACGTACACAACAAAGTCCATACCCGCCAAACACTCGATCTGATGGGTGACCAACAGCACAGTCCGACCTTTCAGTCCCCTATCAATGCACTCCCTGTATATATGGCGGCCAACTGTCCGGTCGACGGCGGACAGGGGGTCGTCCAATAGGTACACATCGCGGTTCGAGTACAGAGCCCGGGCCAGACTGACCCTCTGGCGCTGTCCGCCCGATAAAGTGACACCGCGTTCGCCGATCTCTGTCCGATCGCCGGCCGGAAGTGCCCCAAAATCCGGCCCTAAAGCGCAGCACCGAATTGCCTGATGGTATCGGTTCGGGTCGTACGGCTGGCCAAACGTGATATTGTCTTGAATTGTAGTGTTTAGTATACAGGGCTCCTGCGCTACGTAGGCTACCGACCCCTTCAGGCCTACCCGACCCGATACGAGTGCCATTTGGCCGAGTATTGTCCTTAATAGTGATGTTTTGCCGGCGCCCACCGCCCCAATTACGCCCACGTGCGCCCCTACGGGCACATCTAGGTTTATGCCGGTTAACCACTGGGGTATTGTAGTAGTAGACAGTTGGTCACTTTCTTTATGCTCATCCCAAGCGACTGTCACGTGGTTTAGATGTATCGCAACTGTAGGGCTATTGGTGTTGGCAGCGATATAGTCGGCCCTCTCTGGGCATTTCAGCACCCGTTCAATGCGGGCCAACGCTATCCGGCCGTTAACAATGTCCCGGATATATATGGGTAGGGATCGGATACCGTGGGCGGCCATGTAGTTGACCATCACCAGGGTGAATGCCTACAGTATGTTGTAATAAATTACCTATTTATAATAAATGGCACATTTACGCAAAATCAATATGAAATGTACTTATGTACTTTGGCTGCCGTGAGATCACCCCCACCAGCGCTGGTATAGACCAAAATTGTGATCACTGTTATGATCAACGGCGCGGTGACGGCCAGGGATGTGCTCACGCACTGCAAGTATTGGCACATCTTGAGCCACCGGATTTCCTTACGGCGATATTCTGTTGGAAACAGCATAATTCAATTACTTAACAAGCATAACATGGTAAAACTAATCTAGGTTAATTAGGCACACCTATGACGCGTTTGGCGAATACCGGTTCCCAGCCGTACAGCTTAACGGTGCGAATGTGCGCCAGTAGTTCAGCCATAAGCGCCACCCGTTTGTCACTGTTGGCCACCGCTCGGCGCCGATACTCGGCCTGACCCCTAGCCGTAGCGAATTG